TGGCACGGCCTCATGTAAACATTAACCTCACTTAGCGTCGTAAATAAATTGTACAGTAAGATAAATTCCAACTTCTGGTACTTAATCTTTAGTTTGATGGAAACTAAAAATCAGCCTGAGAGAGGAAATATACAGATAGTTCACAAACCAAAATCCGTTATAAAATATTCTAATTAAGTGAAAACAGCCATTATTAGAAAAGAACATATCTCACAACATAACATGTCTCGCGTGACTTTGAAAGGATCACGATGCACTTGCCTAAAAAGAAAATATTTTCRAAACAATATTCATTTCTAAGAAGTGCTTATAAGTCTTCGACACCGATGTCTTTGAAGGCATTTTAATTACAGAAGCACTGTTTTTAATCGTTTATAAAATGGAAACTTTAATTTCAAAGCGTCACAAACACTAATCAGTTTGGAAAAAAAAGTTTAGTGCTAAAACCTTTTCCAAAAAAGTTACTCAAAGTTTACAAGTAATGTTATCGCTTTAATTAAGTAATTGTTTTGTCGAATTCAATATTTTTCGGTGGTAGTGTGAGAACATATTTCGAGATGAAATATGTTTTGAAWGGCGTCCTGCCGAGAAAATAAAAGAGTTCGAAATAACGAAGAGATTCTTGACAATATTACTCAGGGGTCTAATTGGCGTGTTAGYAACTTACAGAAAGTATTGTTTATAATTAAAAACGTATTTCCTGAAACATTTCATCGCTTTTCATATCAAAGGAATAGCAGAAATACTCAGTTTATATTCACGAAGGAAAGCAAAAACAGATTATATTCAAAAGATGTCGACTTTGCAGCCTCAAGTCCCACCTTTTCGAACTATATCGGTCTCGTTGTTTCCCCACCTTTTCAACCATTTTTGTAAAACCCTTAAAATATATTATTACCTAATTATTCAGGACTACGATATGCAAAGAAGGCGTAAATATTAATTACAGGTGGTTGGTTGATATATAAGCGGCTCCTGGTGAGGGTTCCATGTAAACACACCAGACTTCTATGGACTAGAAAGACGTTCCCTCCTGTTTACAGCATCGATAAACCGGTAATTCTTCACGCAATTTCGACATTATGTTTTGCTAGATTGCTTTCATTATGCATACTGCATGTGCGTGATAAAATGCTGACAGTAGCGAATGCAAAGTTTTAAAAAAGGAAATCACTGATGACAAATTTTGCAATTAATACAAGGAGTGCTCCTTGGTCTAAAATATAGACATTTATGTCTAAATRTTTTCAAAAGCTTTAMTATTTTTTAACCTTATATTTCTGAACTAGATCATTAGTCTTTAACTCTGTAATTASAGCAATTTTCTWACGAAGTGTTTCACGGGTATAATGGAAGCAATTACTCGAACTAATTAACAGAAATTAAAAGAAAATTTTATTTCACTTTTTCCCATTCCATTTACTCAAAGTTAAAAACCCTCCAGATATTATTATATTWTATTTGACACGTTTATTTTCCTTCTTTTTATTTAAATTGGTACTTTTCCATTAATACCTCAAAAGAAATTGAATATCAAGGATTTTCYTGGTGGTGCAATGKTGGTAAATTATCTTAAGCCCATTATTTCCTTAGCGTGACTAGCGTCTCAGTGMACCCTACCTCAAACGTCAATATCGTGCATTGATATTTACTAAGGCCACAGCTGCTAATTTCGTTGAGTAATACTTAAAGCACTGCGGCTGTCAGTTATATTCAGATTCTACATCACCATATTATGTTACGCCGACATTCTATTTACTTTCACTCCGAATTGAGGACATGGACCCAATATAACCTGGGGCAATCTCAAGTTAAAACTTTCTTAAAATATCTATAATTCCATTTGATAGAGGTATCGCTAATTCCATAATTCTATTTTGTAACTATTTGACAAAAACACCTTGACTATTAGCTTTTGTTTTATCGAAAAATATACSAGAATGTTGAGCGGCCTTTTAAACTTAAAAACAACGCTTCTCGTTCGAATGCCAACTTAATAACGGAATCACTTTGATGATGGGAAGACAATGCTTTGGTACTCAAAAATTAACGCCAGAAACAGACAATGTATTAATAAAAAAGTTTTTTTTCCAGTAAGAGTGGCGGTTCACTCACTAATACAATTAAGATGGCGCACTGCAAGATATAATACAAAAAATGATGAATTATTTGCATCAGGAAAGTGATCCTCTTACTTTAATGTTATTAAACTATTCTTACCAATTACTATACTACTGTTTTATTTATAACGAGGAAAAAACACTAATTCAGCTACCGCAAAGTACTTGATAAAACCTTGAAGGACCATTTATAAATCAGTGTGAAAATGTTTCCCGTTCGGCTAATAATTTACCGTAAATAGAACAACAAAGGCCGAATAAAAAGCAACAATTAGACGATACAACTTTTGTCTACAACCATCGCATGCAACCTGCGTAAGTCATCCTTACRACATGGCTACAACTGTCGTAGAGATTTAAAAACAATTCTAAATAGCCCTACGACAGTTGTAGCCATGTTGTAAGGATGACTTAGGCAGGTTGCATGCGATAGTTGTAGACAAAAGTTGTGCCGTCTAAATCGGCCTATACAAATATTTTGTTTGGAGAAACTTCTAGTTCTTCGTGTTGACGAACCCTTTGTAAAAAAAAATGTACCTTTAAAACATTCACTGTATAATAACAATAACAAGCACTTAATATCAAAACTTTCCGACAGCTCTTTTAAAAAGGTTGTCGGGAGAGAATGTTGACAAAGAACCGAAGTGCATTGTGGGTTTTTAATTTTTAATTCACTCTCATCTGTTAAAGACCAACACAACAAACCAACCAACACAACAATATCACTCAACTCTTTGTTCCAATGAAGCATACAAAACGAGTTATCGCAGATGGGAGTCTACATCAATAATCATTACCCACAATACCTTTCGATCATACATTCTTCAYCCTGTCTGATAACCTTAAAATTTTTGTATCCACATCAGCAAGTTGTTAATAAATCAAGCTTTACTTCGAAGTAATGCGAAGCTTACGAATTATATCCGGCGGGCATTTTTTTCAACACTCGAAGATAAAATGCGAGATTTTCTTCCATTTGTTCTCCTGTAACCAGGTAGAAAGTAACTTTTTAAAAATCTAGTTTTTATCTCCCTTTATTTTTTAACACCAAGCTTTATAGGTGCGGCATTCTTGATTCTATTAAATAAGAGAAAATTTYTTCAATCGACTATAATCTTTATTTAATTCGTAGTATGGTAATTGTCTGTGTGTATCATTAGGTAAAGGAACTSCTTTCGTGAAAATTTCGTCTGATACTGTTAATCGGCTTATCTCTAATTGCCTTGAAACGCACCCATTGGTTTCGATTGATTAGCAGCTAAGCCGCGCTTGTTGTCGAAGCTCTCATGTATCGAATTCAACGTAAATTCTCCGATCTTTTTCAAAATCTCTAATAAACGGAGCAGTAAAAGATATCGATGCAGAGTCAGCGCATTCATGTACAGAGATATACTTAAAAATAAACACAAAAAAGAACGACAAAAAATGGAATTTCGAACATCTGCATATTTCAGAAACAGATTATCAATGACGTAGCGCCCGGAGGACGAAGTCTGACGTCATTCCTAATGACAAATTCACGAAAATAGAAATATTTAACATTTGTATGACAGTCATTTTGGTAGTAGTTGTATGAAATCCGTATGGAATTTATACAAAGATATATTTGGACAACTTATTCTTCTCTCCATACAAAAAAAACTATCTTTAACTGCGGTTGACTTTCAGTATTCARAGAAAATCAAAACATTTGAATCCTAACCGGAAAAAGTTTTGTAATTGCTAAATTACTTAGTGATTTGCCTGTATTTATACTAATAATTTCTATACTCTAAGCTAAAAAAAACACAGAACGGAAAAATATCAATCAATCAATCAGAAGTAAACAGAGGAAGGTAGCAAGGCAGATATGTACAGAAGAGGCAACGAAAATAAACAAACTTTAATTAAAATCGATATTAGTATACACCATTGTTTTAACACTGTCATATTTATGCGAAGTATTTTCTTTATCCTTCTTGGTTTACAATACAAAACATTTATTTTTTAATTGAACGCGCTTTAAAAGAGCGCACAAAAGGCACAACACAAGACTTGCTGTTGTAATAACGCTGTTAATCTACGTAGAGATAATTATTTTTTTCTTGCTCAAAATCGTCGTATTTTATGTAAATATCGACAAACAAGCTGTAATACAATTCAAGGAAGTGTGAACTGCACTTAACTATTGTAAACTGACAGAGAAACGCGGTCAAACTAAAGTGCTTCCCGATCGAGTAGTACAGTGCCACATTTGCGATGTTGACAGAAAATAAATTTGTGAAGATATCTTATGAGAAATAAGGATAAAACATGATGAATTTAGTTTATTCTGGTGCACAGAATTACAACCAAATGACGAGTTCAATGTCAGAAAAACAAGTTATTTATTGCCAAGATTAGGAAAAAACAACAACAACTGGACTCTCGTCCAAATTGAAATCCTTCCTTAGAATGACAGTATTGACCACGATAATTAAAGTCCAAATAAAAAACAAAACAAAACAAACAAAAAACAAAGACTAAAAAGGTACCAATAATTAGATATCATATTTCTCTAAATTAAATTAATTTAAAATACGAACGATTTGCTGAGATAACTGATGCGGCGTTGTACAGGGTCACTCCTTTCTAAAACCGACCAGATCTTTCATGTTGCAAGATATTAGGCCTCGTTTCGACATTTTTAAGCGATCATTTTCAACAAGAAAACTTAAGAAACCTTACCAATCACACGAATTCTCTTTCCGGCCAGTCAATTCCAATTGCTCTAGATATGCTGCCGCTTTGCTCATCCAATCGACTTTAATCCTACTTGGTAATAAGCCTTTTAAGGCATAAAAACATATCTTAAAAAATCATATCTTCAAATGAACATAAATTGTACAAAAGAAAAGGAAAAATACCCATAATAAAGCGTTTGGAACAAAAATTCTTGCAAGAAATAAAAAAATATAAAGTATAAAGCAAACATCAACAGAAAAGTTTCACATAACTCGATATTTTCCTCACTAAGAAATATTTTTCAGCTGTTCATCGAACTAAACTTCGTTTAAGCTGTGATTTACCGGAAAACAAATTCATTGTGAATAAAACCTTAAAAAATATTCAACTAATTCGATCAAATAACGTTGAAAGCTGCAATGAGAATAGCACGTSAAGTCGTTTGCAAACCAAGCTGTGTTTGACACACATGCATAATTTAATATTCTATATAATATGCAATTGTCTATCACTATTCTGAATACAGAAGTATAAAGCGTATAATAAAACAGATAATAACGTATGATAGAGTATTATTATCTGCCTTATTTAATTACTGGGCAACCATTTCTAGATTAGCTGGAATTTACAGTGATACCAAGTAAATATCTTGGGCGACCAGGTTTATGACCAGGTTTAAGATTCGATTTATCGGCACGCAACCGCGCATACCGTTACAAAACCGAATAAAACACTCASAAACCCTCACATACAAAGTCTTGTACAGTTGGATTTTTTTTACAAAGCGAGCGGGATACCTTGTTTAGAGAATCGAGGAAGACAGGACTTCTACTATTGCAGTCACGTGACTGCGTTAATTAATGGAGTTCAAATGTATTGTTTCAATGGTGTCGAAGTTGACAAGAACTAAGCCGGGGTAGGATATGAATGATTAATCGTAGAAAATGCGCCGCTGTGTGAGGCTGTGTGAGTTCCCTTAACAACAGGCATACAAATTAAGGTGGCCGACAATAAAATCAATATCACAAAGGCGCTACCAGCCCAACAATACAGGGCTTTGAAAGCAATAGCCACCAGGCAGCTGACGACAACTGTTTTTGACAATCTGAACGTAYAGTTTATGTACTATACGTCTAAAACTACATTCCTTAAACATACCATTCGACGGCAATTCAAATGCAGCACCTTTGACCAGAAAAGACAGAAAATTGTGTCCAGTCACAAGGGTTCAATAATACAAAAGGCCTCATTGTCCGTCATTACGACTGTTTTGGTTCCTGGCAACACCTTTATTACAGAAAGGTTTCATGGAAAGAAAGCTTTAGGAAGATTAGGAACTCGAATTCTGGATATTTCCGAAGATTTCTGGACAAGAAAAGTACATTTATGTACTGTACATGTAACGTTTTTCGTTACTTTTACGGTTTTCAAGGTTTGTTTATTTTCTTTGTTCATAATAATTGCACAAATCTATTTTTTCCTAAAGTAATCCAAATTCTTCCCAAAATTGACTAATCTTAACTGATTGAGCAGAAGTGTTGTTTTCGATTTTCAAATAATTCGCCAAAGAAGATTATTTAGTAAAATTTCCATCGAATGATTGTTTTGCTGGAATATCATTACAGAAAATTAACCTTTTAAAAATATTATTAAAAACGTACAAAATTTATTTTTATTACCAGTGATTAATTTTAAAAGTTATCCTTTCATCATTACAAACGATGACATCTACTCGTGTATTTTGTGCCAAGAAAGAGCTTCAAAAAGATAAACTAGAGTAGCACTACGTGGCCATAGCAGCTGCTGGCTTTCAGTTTTCAAATCGCCATATCTTTATTTCGCAAATTGCTAAACATTCTATCATTTCAAAGGCTTAAAAAATTAATAATTCGACAAGCTTTCGAAAATGACAGTAAAAATTATGTAATTTTGTACACAGCGGGGACGAACTACTTCATTTTGCGTGTCCTTTGAAAAGACACAATCTGATGATGTCGATCGAAATGCCACATAATGCCATAACTTCCCCCTCGTTTGATGGGCATTTTAACCATTACGGCAGCTCAGACTCTCATGTTCCTTTCCTGTTATCTTTTATGTCGACGTTATCAAATAACTTTTGTTATTTTGAGTTTTTGTTTCGGAAAGTACCAGGTTAATTCAAAAACCAACTTGAATGTCTCGACGAAAAAGACTTTACTTGATCGCTAATGATRATTATTTCAAGAGCCTCTGGAAAGAAAACACATTACATTGCGAATTACCGTTATTTTTATTCTTAAAAATATCTTCAATTCATTCTACAATTAAAAATTAATATTCTAAGCCGAAAAATGTCCTTGAAAATATTTTCCTCGGAAAACGAATTTCCAAAAASATCATTTCGACGAATCGAATATTTTGGAAGAATAAATCTCGAGGAAAAAGAAATATAATTGAAATTCGACAACAGTACATCGTTAACTCGCTGTAATATAAGATTTAGTCAAGAAATGACGACAATCTATTTGATTATTTCGAAAARTAAAAAACATGAGATTTTTTTAGTTAATATATAACATATCAAATATCAAATAGTGATATTCTATATTTTAGTGTATTATATAAGTCGTTCCTGTGTTGTTCCATTCTGCGTATTTTAATAAGTTCATTAACTTCATAAACGCATTTGACGAGTCATCAGCCTGAAGTGGTTGAATTAGTTAAACCATAGAGGTGGAAACACCAAAAAAAGGACACGAAAGTTAAATCCAACGCCTACATCGCAATCCTTTAATTCGCCGAAACAATTATTACTGTTCTATTTGACCCAAGGCGCACATAAGGTCCGCAGCCGACGAGTCTGAAGCCTTTACAGTGCAAACGAAACCCGGAAACCGACCCCATTTAGGGTGATATTGGGATCGAAACAGACCAATCAAAGAGAAGCACATTACAACATCGCTGCACCAAGACCATACTATATAATTAAAGCCAGTCTATTTGTATTTCKCAGATCCATGGAATTATGGCGTTGAATAACACTACAGAGAGCGCRGTGCGGCTGAATGGATTTTATTATGCACGTCTAGTTTGCTATGTTATCATTTTCATCGTCGGTGTCATTGGAAATGTGCTCGTCTGCCTCGTGGTGTGTCGTCAACGTAAAATGAAGAGTGTAACGAACTATTTCATTGTCAACCTAGCGGTGGCTGATTTGGCTGTTCTCCTGATCTGTATTCCATTTGATTTTGGCGAAATTGTAACTCAGTACTGGCCTTACGGMAGCGTTATGTGCAAACTCATATACCCATTACAAACTATGGCAACAACGGCTTCGGTCGGTACGCTGGTAGCCATCAGTCTTAATAGGTAAGTCAAGAACTCTTGGAATTGAAACCATTTATGTACCTTCTAGGTGTTGTTGATTAAACTTAGAAATATTTTTTTTTATTTTAAGACAACAACGTTTTAAATCCGAAAAAAAAGCGTAGATCTCCTGCAAACTAGTTTATTTTTAATCAATTGAGCAAAACATTTTACATCGGTTAATTGTAATTACACCATGGTGAAAATTTGAATAATMTTGATTTATTTAAAAAGACGAAAAACACAGCATCAACAACTGTTTGTTCTAAAGATTATGTTTGCCTTGAGATTGAATTCTGGTTTGATCTTGTTTGCAAAAGATATTATAMTGGTAAGACGCCATTTTACTCGTCTGTCAGTATTAATTGATTTTTTTTCTCGTATGGAAATAACGACAACATGAAGAAAGGAAAGGGTTTTGAAATGTCAACTAAACGACTAAATTCATCAATGAAAGGATATACATTAACTATTAATATTATTAATAAATCAACTGGATTTTCATCGCATTTCTAAAAGTTAACACAGTACTATATTTATACATTTTATTTATAAATAAGGACAACGATCTCCATAGCGTTCACTTAAAGTTACAAC